TCCGAAACGTTAGCCTTCCTGCTCCTCTGATGCTGCTTGGCCTGCTGTGTTCATCCAGCTCTACACCTTGTTATCTCAGATTCTCCAGCATCTGCAATTCCTACTATCTCTGTGCAACTAGCACACTGCTTTCATTTGAAATTGGATATGAGCATTCCTTCTTATTGAGCATACAATTTTTGACATTCAGTCACATGGTTGCTGGTGCAGAATGTAACAATTTAAAGGAGACAAGAAGTTGAAATAGAATAGACACTGTCTAGTCTTAATAAATGCGAGACAAAAATTTGAAGTTTGGGAAGGTGATAACTCAAAGTGACCCAAAGTGATAACTCTGATTAAAACCGAAAGAACTGCGGATGCTGTGAATCAGGAACAAAAACAAAGTTGCTGGAAAAGCTCAGCAGGTCTGTGAAGGGAAAAACAGAGTTAACGTTTCGGGTCCGGTGACCCTTCCCATTCTACCGCAGCTTACCCTGGACGGGGAATGTTTCTCAAACATTTGAACCACAAGCTAGCTGTCTCAAGCTGCTACTTTGCAGTAAACACACGAGTGGCTTTCTCCACCAAAGGGATGCTGCTCTCAAGCTGAAAAAATGTTTTATCTATCTCACAAATATGTAATGTGATTTGAGTTTCAGTGATTTTGTGACGAGAAGTATGGAGGTTGTATGTTCTAATGAGTGGCGAGCTATATCAAATAACACGTTCCTTGACCATTTGCCAATCGTACTTATCCAACCTGTGTTTGCAGGCCTCAGAACATTATGTCAACCATTAGACGTGATACTGCTTTATGACTACATTTATGAACTAGTCTGAATGCTAAGAATTACATCAGGAACCAATTTAAGGTTATCCCATTGAACCTCTGTCATTGGAAAAGAAGGGCTCATGGAGACTGTTGATCTCTGCATTTTCATGGCACCACCCTGACATTCAGATTCCCTCACTGACTCGTTGGAGAACTAAGATCGACAGTTATATGTTCCAGCCTCATCTTCATGCCAACCACGGCCCAACCAATCAGCACTCTCTTCTCATGTTGTATCAATTGGTGTCTCATCTTTCAAGTCAGTTCCTTGGATCCTAGTTCTGATGAGTTCAAGATGAAAAGCTTTGTCTTCTCATCTCCATTTAGCAATAGGTAATATTTATTTAATTAAAGTGTTATCACCAGTTCATGTCACAAATAGGTTAGGATTCAATTAAAACTTTAGGAGTTATGTTTAAAATTACCTCAATCATTGCAGGAATTGTCAAATGACTTGAAATATGTCACTTTCAGGCTATTTTATACTTCCAGCCTTATTATGAAATTAAATATGCTGCAAATGTCTGATCAGTCCACAGTATATTTGTTACATTTCTGTAATACTTTAATTCAAATGGATAAATCAAACATGAGGGAATCAAATTTGTTTCTTGCATGTGTAATTTGATTATTAATGTGGCACATTTACATGCCTTTGTTATACTAAAGTCCTAAATATACTAGTTAGTACAATTTTACTGGATGTGAGATATAGAAAGTCAATGAACTTGTACTTAGATGATCGCAAGTCCCACTAGATTTGCTGTTAAGGCTTGACGTCATCTGGTGCTTTTTGATTAAATTGTAGCCTTGTAATTCACTCCTAGCTTTTAATCCTCTGCATGCTGTATGTGCCCAGTAGCATACCAAAATCAAATAAACGTCACTTTCCATTTGTTTCAAAGGACAAAATGCATGTTTTGAATCTCTCATGCTCAGATGTGTGCACTTTTACAAACTATTGACATGGACACTTGAATCCAGAGGATTAATTAAGAGGACTTGAAAAAGACTGTGGCTGTGTCTTTGAGAAAACTAATTGAATGAGAGATGGAGTTGTTATTAACATGTCTGAATTTCATCTTTTCCAAACTGTCATGATGCACAAACTAATAATATACACAGTGCTGACAATTTACTTCTGCTTGTAACTAACCAAAATCCTGTTGCATCTCTGCCCTACAGGTATAGGTTCAGTTTATTTTCACGCAACTTTGAGTTTCATCGGACAGATGTTAGATGAACTAGCAATCCTTTGGGTTCTGATGTGTGCCATGGCTATGTGGTTCCCCAGACGATATTTACCAAGGATTTTTCAACGAGACAGGTAAGGCTGGATACAAAAATATATATTCTATATGGTCAACTAAAAGTCTCAAAAATAATTTATTACTTTGATCAGAAAAATACTTCTCTGTCTCAAGGATATATTTCTTTATTCAGGAACTAAATACTGGATACTGGAAATTTGAACCAAAAATGCTGAAAAGGGGCAGCAGGCCTGTCTGTGAAGATCAAAACTGTGGGCGCAATCTTATGTCTCTTTTGGCTAAGTCTGAGTTGTGCTAAGATTTTTGGACAAGCTTTCGCTGTGAGGTTTAGTGAGTTCTCCCACCATATCTTATCAAACTTGCTGCATTAATTACCCATCACACTCAAAGGCTTCTCTCATTCGAATTCTGACCCAAACTTATCAGGTGCTGTTTCCAAACAACTCTCCGAACAGTGGATATCCCAGAATTCACTTGCAGCCCATGCACCCATGTCATGTTTAGAAGTTTGTTGTGCAACTCACACAAACACCGATAGTCCACACCTGTCCCCCATGATTCCTGATATTTGCCCCAGATTTGGCAGACGGGGGAACTTAGCACCTGGCTGCGTGGGTAAGGGATCTAAAAGTCCTGTTGATTGGGCTGGTGAACAAGCAGGACTTCCTCTTCCCCCAGGACCAGGAGTGGAGGCCAGTACACCACACCATGCTAGTTTGGTCCAAGTTTGCCAGCCAGGTCAGTGTGGTCTCAGCATTCTAGAGGAATGCCCAGCACTCTAGGAAGAAGGTCAGTGACCTTCTCTATTCCACTAGCATGTGTGCTACCATTTTCACTCCGGTACACCACATTCTCTGCAACTGTAATCACCTGTCACCATGGCTTATGTTTTGCCACCCTCACTGTTGCCTGCAACATCTTCCTTAATTCACTGCCATCTGCCCCAACACCACGAATCGCACTTGCGCTTGGCACTACCTAATCACTGGCTCGGGACACCTCCTGACCAAAAGTCAATGCCCTTCTCCACTCCGCTTGGATGAGTGCCAGCATTTTCCCTCGGAGACTTCACACTCCTTCTATCTCTGCTACTGTGCCCACCTCCCACCAAGGTTCATGCTGTACCACGCTCACTATTGCCTGCAGCATCTTCTCTCACTCAATCTCACCCACCATTATTCCTGACAGTACTAACCCCACATGGGCCTTGACACTGCCTACTCACTCGCTTGGGACCCGACCTCACCTGGACCAAATATATCAGTTCTGCCACCCCCAACTTACATCTCCCATAATGCCTGCCGCTCTCTCTCATTCCACAAGGAAAGCAGCACACTGTAGCGCAGAAAGCGTGGAGATGTGATGGGCTTCCTGATATTCAGTTCCTCATCCCTTATGATGACAGCATCCTAACTCTGACCTCCATGAGTGGCTGAGCGACCGTATCCAAGCCCCTGGACTGGTAACAGAGATTGCCGTTGTGTTACTGTGCCAGGATCAAATGAGTGAAGGCTGTTTCTCTTGACATGACTGAGGCCTGCTGACAACCATGATAAGGTTCCTGGGTTTGCGTCTGCTCTAAATGACAAAGCAAAGCAGAAGAAATATAAGATAACAAGGTGTAGAGCTGGATGAACACAGCAGGCCACACAGCATCAGAGGAGCAGGAAAGCTGACGTTTCGGGTCTGGACCCTTCTTCAGAAATTTCTGAAGAAATTTCTTCATTTCTGAAGAAGGGTCCTGACCCGAAAC